CTTGTAGTTTTAATGAAAAGCTTTGATTAAAAACATTGGTAGCATTTTTATAGCTGGTAATTGTTCTTACTTTCTGAAGAAATTCTATTAAAAGAGAATTATTATTTCTCATTTTGAGCTGGGCAACTGTTGGGGTAAGGGTGTGTGTGTGTTATGGCACTGGTGCCTCCCTTGCCTCATCGTGCCATCTTCACAGTCCTTAGTGCTCTCAGGAGCAAAGCAGAAAGCACAAGAACAGTTGTGCAAAGACTACAAAAGTGTCTCACAAATCCATCACCGTGTCTGAAGCTTTTGTGGACTCCATCTCATCGGGCAAATGTGGAAAGAGAGGGGAATAAACAATAGCAATTTCCTCAGGATCCCTGGACACACCGGTGCCACCTAACAGAGAGGAAGGACACGGTGTACCAACAAGGCCACACAGGGAAGGCTCCAATCGCCCCATGGCACAATCACCAGGAAGAAGTCTTCCGCCAACCAAGTCACACATAAGAACATAATAAGAGCCCTGCAGGATCAAGCAAATAGCTCATTTAGCCGAATATCCACTTCTCACAGTGGCTACTCATATGCCCTCAGCTGGAAACCCACCAGCAGGACCTCAATGGCTTCCAGCAACTGATATTTAGAAACAATACAGAATCCAACTGCGGAGGCAGATCATAGCCATGGTCATTAGTAGCCATTGCCAGCTCTTTTTCCTCCGTGAATTTGTCTAATCCTCTTTTAAAGCCATCCAGGTTCATGGTCATTACTGCCTCCGGTGGGAGTGAGTTCCACAGTTTAACTATGTGCTGTGTGAATGACTTCGCCCCCTCTGTCCTAAATTTTCCAACATTAAGCTTCATTGGATGTCCACAGATTTTCAGTGTTATGAGAGGAGAAAAACTTCTCTGTACTTATCATTCATACACTTCTATCTTGTCCCCACTTAAGCATATTTTTTTCCTAAATTAAAAAGACCCATTAGGGTATTGCTCCCTAGCTTCTTGATCATTTTTGTTTCCTCTTTCTCTGCACTTTGAGGTGTTCATCGCTTGAGTAATTACAAGTTGGTAAGAATGACCTCACACTATTTAAAAACAATGTGAGGGTAGATCCCCACCTTTTAAGGAGCAAATTTAATTCTTTTCCTTTTAGCAACCCTATTGGAAGGAGCTATCTTCTTGCTAAGGGCTCCTCCTAATGGCCAAACATCAGAAGCACGCCCAACAAAGAATTCCTCCGAAAGAGCTCCAGGGAAGGTTTTATGGGGTTGGCACAATGAATGGACCTTACTGTAAACAGAGGAAGATATACTACGAAACTAATGAAGCACAAGCTTCTGCGCCCCTAATCCCGGAAGGGCCCCAGAAGTGACCTTAGTCCACATTGCTTTAAAAAACTGAGTCTAGTAGACCCAATTTGAGCCACATGCCTAAAAAACAGTAAGACATAAGAATTTTTTATTTACATTGGTGACTTTGACATGTGACATAATCCAGTAAATTACAGCAATTTTTTTTAATGGACATATAGTACTTTTTTTTTTAAGTGATCTGTTGTGGAAGACCCCACTGAAGAAGATAACAGTGGTTGCCCAGATCTTGTTACTGGTTGCAAAGGGCCCCTCTCATAACAGTTCAAGCTTCAAGATCCCAAAAATGTAGGTCTGCCACTGACTTTAAAAGCTGTTTTGAAAATAGTTCTGCTTTGTCCCATAAGGGAGCATAGGCAACTAAAACCCGAGGGCCCAAGTCATATGCTACTCAGGAATAAAGGGCTCCTCAACAGTAAGGGCTCTTAGAACACCAGCAGCTGTGAGCAGGTGTGGGTGTGGAAGGTTATTAGTCCTTATTTTGAGCAGGTGTGGGTGTGGAAGGTTATATTAGTCCTTATTTTCAGCATCCCAGTTGCTAGAACACCATTAGTTTCTAGCTCCCTGTAGGTGGAAGAGGGCCTTTTGTTAGACCTTGCTCAGAATAGATCCTCTCTGTGTCTGGACTGCTGTCTTCTGCTGCTGCTCCAGGATCATATTTCGGACTGAGATTGCTTGTGCCTGATTCTGTTTTGCCTCTGACTTTACAGGTTAGACAGTTGTTTTGTAATTTGGCTTGATACCTCCCCACACATTGTATCAACTGGAGTAGGACTGACCGTCTCCTGGCCTAACCTACTTCACAGGGCTGTTGTGAGAATAAAGGGAGTGGGAAACCACATAAACATCATTGAGACTGATGGTTGTCCCTGGGGATTCTTACTCTCTAACCTCCCCCTCCCCACACATCCAAGTGGCAAATAAGTGTGCATGAGATGTTTGCCTTTTCCTAAGGCCCATGGCAGTGAGGGAAGGGTTAAATGCTCCCTTCTCAAGTACTACTCTGCCAATTAAATTTAGAGCTCCTGTTTTGAAGATGTAGAGTTGGCATAACTGGTGACAAAATCCTGAGTTATCAGAGGTTCACTCTCTCCTCTCCCACCTCACCCTAGCTTGGGCTCAGGTGTTCAGAAGCCCCTTTCCTGCTATTCTGTGGTTGCTTTTCTAAGCAATGCTGCTCTTATGAATATTCCAGCTGGGTGGATTTTGTTGCTGCTAAGCTGCCACCTTTTGGAAAGGTTTGCTCATTATGCTGCCCAGCATTTCTCACTGCAAGTTGTTCCCACCTGCTCTTTCCCTTCTGCCTCTTAGTGTTGAACCCTCTTGTAATTCATCACTCCTGGTGATCCAGCTTATTCTTACTGTTGATTAAATTAGTAAATGCAATCACAATCTGAAGTGATTTAATTGAGAGGATTTATTTGAACATGACAGTTTAATGCATGTTTGATAAACTATTATAAGGTTTAATTTTGATTTTGCATAATTTAACTTTTAAATCTGCACAGGAGGGTCCCCCATCAACTATTAATGACCAAAATAAACTCTTTTAAGATGCATATATTTATAATTTATTTTGAAGACCAGGTTTTTGCCTCCTCAGTGTTGTTCTAGTGACAAAGTGACAAATATATTGAAAATAATATTTGGAGCTCTTCAGCGGTGCTATAAATCTTTAGGAATGCATACAATTTATTAAAAGTTTGGAAAAGTACAAGTTAGCATTTATATGGCAACAAGTGACAAACAAATGTGTGTGTTTGTCTTCCCAGGTGACCATCAAACACCCTGTCCCTTGCCAGTGACCCCTGGGGGCACGGCAGCTCCCTTGTCACAATTAGCAAAAAAGCACAGCACTTCTGCTTATATAAATTCAGCATTAACTTCAGTAAAGGTAATTCCATATATAATCCACAATTATTTTTTGCAGTGTGGTGGATACTGCTTGAAGAGGTTCCTTGAACATACGAAAGCAATTTCAGGTAACTATTTGGGCTAATTACAGCCTTCATTTCATTTTTTACACACATGAATGCAGGCCAAAACCTCCCTGGTGATGACTTCATGCCACGAAAATGCAGCAGTTGGTGTGTGTGTGTGTGTGTGTTATCCATTCATGGCAGGGAAAGAAAATTTCATTGATACAGATTGGCTCCAGAAGTGGGTGTTTGCCCACCATGACAATTTATTACTAGATGGCCATGGGCCAGCCCTGGTCTCAATTATTTCATTATGTACATATGTACGGCTACATATTAATACATATGTATTAACTAACTTCTCTAGCAGGGGTGGGGAATATCAGGCCTGGGGCCAAACAATCTAACCCTTGGCACGCTTGCCAGGACACACATGCCTATGCCATAGCACCCACTTTCTAGTCTCCTGAGTGCCCTGCAAAATATTCCGGGCAGTGTGGGAAGCCACATATTGCCAGCAACTGAATTTATGTGGTTACAGGTAGGTAGCCATGTTGGTCTGCCGTAGTCGAAACAAAATAAAAAAATTCCTTCCAGTAGCACCCTAGAGACCAACTAAGTTTATTATTGGTATGAGCTTTCGTGTGCATACCAATAACAAACCATGTTCGAAGAAGTGTGCATGCACATGAAAACTCATACCAATAACAAACTTAAAGGTAAAGGTAAAGGGACCCCTGACCATTAGGTCTAGTCATGGCCGACTCTGGGGCTGCAGCGCTCATCTCTTTATTGGCCGAGGGAGCCAGCGTACAGCTTCCAGGACATGTGGCCAGCATGACTAAGCCGCTTCTGGTGAACCGTAGCAGCACACAGAAACGCAGTTTACCTTCCCGCCAGAGCGGTACCTATTTATCTACTTGCACTTTGATGTGCTTTTGAACTGCTAGGTTGGCAGGAAATAACTAACTTAGTTGGTCTCTAATGTGCTACTGGAAGGATTTTTTTTATTTTGAATTTATGTGGGAGATGGAAATAAAAATCCAGTGCCACAGATAACAGCATAACAAAATAATGGTTGATTTCCCAATCCTATAGAAAAGGGCTTCTTTTACTACAAGTTAAACAATCGACAGGGCTGTGAATTTTCCCAATGTGGGAGTTGTTATCGATGGGATTAGTTGCAAAAATCGAGAAAAAAAGTGAAAAAGGAGAGCTTACAAGGGTGAGGAGCATCTGTGCCACTCCAGATGTTGTTTACCCCAGTGGCTCCCATCAGCATAACCGCTGGAAGGCTAGAGACCCCATCCTGCCTTTCATTTTCCCAACTTTTCCTTTCCAAGCAGGAGAAAGTAAATCAATTGTATGTTCACACTATGCACCGAAAGCGCTAAGAGACCACTTTTAAAGAGCCCTGGCTCCCCCCTCCCCGCCCCCGCTCCATGGATCCTGGGATCTGTGAGCTGCAGTTTGCAGAGTGGTTTGGCAATCAATCCCTTTTCGCAAGGAACTCCGGGAATTGTAACTGTAGAGCCTCGTACCCATCTCCAGCACCTTACACAAACTACATTTCCCAGTATTCTTTTCTTATGGGGGGGAGGTGCAGAGCCACAACTGGCTTAAAGCAATATGAAGCCACTTTAATGCATGTCATTGAATGTAGCCCAAGGCCACAGCAAGGCCTTGGACTTTCCTCTCCGTTGCTAGGTAACCGCTTCCCGGTTCGCACTTCCGCCTTGGAGGCCGCGGCGGATTGGCGCCCTGCGATGATGCCATCGGCCCGCGCGGCTCTTTCCTCGCCGCTGTACCCAAGGGAAGGAAGGCAGAAAAGCTGAGGGGACGAGAGAGACAGATCAGTCGTGGTGCCGCCGCCGTCCGTCCGTCCGTCCCTTCCTCCCGTCCCTCCCTAGCCATGAATAGTCTCCGCTGGTCCCCGGTGAGTCCACGGAATGCCCCGCGGGTGAGTGTGAGGCGGGAGAGCCCCGATAATGCCTGGAAGGGTTGGGAGTGGCAAAGGGCTTCTGGAAGTCCCGACGGCGATGGTGTTTCAGCCCCTTGAGGGAGTTCAGGGCGCTGCATGTGGACCCGCTGCCCTCCTCCCCGTAGTTATAATCCCCACAACAGCCCTGCGGAGTAGGATGGGCGGATTCGTTGGGGCTCGCCCGGCTTCTGCCTGCCGCGCCCCATTCCCCCCCCCCCCCTCACTCCCACGCAGCCAAACAAACGGGTGAATGGATGACCGGCCCTTTGGGCAGCCTGGAAGAATTGAGGCCGCCTGCCTTTTGCACGGCAAAAAATGCCCCTGCCTGGCGACTGCTGATGACTGAGCTGCTCTGTGGGTCAGCTTCCCAGCGCACCGTCCATGGGGTCACCAGAGCACCAGCCATGCTCCTGCTGTTGCTGAGTTTCCCTCCTTTGCCTTGTTCGCCCGTGTGAATGTCGGACTTAAGGAAGGCCCTGCAGAGGGTGGCAGGAAGCATCTCTGGTTTGGTTAGTGGTAGAGCGTGGTCTGCAGGTAGCATCTCCCCCAGGTAGGGCTGGAATCTTGCCTGAAGCCCTGGAGAACTGCTGCCAGTCCATGCGGGTGGGCAAGACGGGTCAATGGTCTGACCCTGTATTGGTCACCTTCCTATATGTGATAGTTGACAGGGAAGCAAGAGACATCTTTTATGTTATACTGTACCGGTAAATTCAGATGGAAGACCTTTGTAGAAATTTGTTGTTGTTTAGTCATGTCCAACTCTTCGTGACCCCATGGACCAGAGCACGCCAGGCACTCCTGTCTTCCACTGCCTCCCGCAGTTTGGTCAAATATGTAGAAACAGACGGTGCTTTTTCCCCCTGAGGATACACAAAGGTATGCAGTACCAGCACCTTTTTTCCTAGAAGAAAAGCATTGGTTAAAAGTGTGGCATTTACTGTAAAAACTTCATGGTGAGTACCAGCACTTTTTTCTCTAGGTGAAAAGCGCTGCTTATCAATAAACCCACATCTGAGTGAAAGAAATTTCTACATCATAGCAGAAAAGTTGCCTAGTGAGAAATAAGATGCAGACAAGATTCACTCATTTGTGCATTAATTGTTTATATTCAGACATGCCACTTGAGTAGAGGTCATATTTGCTTCCTGGGATTTACTTGTGCGGAATAAATCACAGCTTGCATGAGTGGGAAATCTGAGCTGGATTCTTGATCTGAAGCTGTAGTGCGCAAGTGGCAAAAGAGGGTTAGTGACTTTCATGAGAGGTCATCGAGCATGATGATAATAAGCTCCCCAAATCCACATCTTGTTCATCTCCACATATAAGGTATAAGCAGAGATTTTAAATTAATGACTGTGTTCTATATTGTAAGTGGCAGGTAGGGGCTATGCTGTGGAGGCAAAGTAGTTTAAGAAATTGTTGTGCTCAGCTGTGGTATCTGGAAGACAGGATGCCCTATGCTTTAAGAACAAAGATGCTATTTCAGTGATTTTTAATAAACTAAGAAGGTTCCCCTGGCTCAGCAGAGGAATAATTCCTTTTCCCTTTCTTGGGTCAAGAGTCAAATGCAGATACTTTACAGTGTCCTTGGAGGAAAGGATACTTTTGTGGGAGAGAAGTCAGTCAGAATCTACCACTGACTGGGCTCTTATCTTGTATTTGTATTTGTTGCGTCAGAGTGTTTAGGAACATTGTGTGATTGTCTGGGCAAATTTGTCTCATAGTTAACGTTTTTCAGTTACTTTCCTTTCACTGTTGTCAGATTGGAGCTGTGCATGGCAAGTAGGCAGTGGTCTGGACTCATTGCTGCAGTGTGGATAGTGAGTATTAAACGTGTCTTCTGTGATGAATCTTCTGTGCTCTCATCAGCTATCTGGAGATCTAGTGGGTGGGATTCGTTGCAGGGGTGTTAGGCAGGATTGATTGATCACAAAATCAAGCCCTCAAACATCCCCTGGTGTAGCAGTGAAGCCATGGGCTTAAAAAAAACCCCCTCATAAAAAGCCTCATAGCTTGAAGTACTACTGTGTGTTTAAAACATGACAGATGCAGGGGAAATGTTACAGGTAGCCTCTCTGAAAGGGTCCTTCCAGATGCAAATGAATGTACATTTTACATACGTGATGGTGTATTGTATGTGGGCTTTTCCCTGTGCCTGTGACAACATGTTATATGTAAAATGGCCTTTTAGAATTCTCCTATTACAGAAGAAACCATCCGGGTTCTTGACCAGCCTGTCTGTCCACCTTCCCTTTTTTTAATCACCCGGATAGAGCTCTTTCTGGTCATACACTCCATCATCCAAACCAACCTACTTCCTTACCAAAGCTAAACTGTTTTTTTGGCATTTTATTGATGACATTCTAGTCTAGTTGCTGAATTTTTTTTTACTTTGCAGCAACTCAGCCAATGGTTTGGGATTCACCATCCATCAGTTTTTAACCTACTTATATGGTGTGAGAATTTTGCGTAAGCTGTTCATCTGTGATTCTCTTCCTAATGTATTAAGTTCTCCATAGACTTCCCACCAATAGTTGTTCTCTTACACTTGTTCCATTAGTAATTTTCCAGGATTGGCGATTGGCTAGGAAAATCTTAGAGTGAGTTGATCAGTTAAAATCTGGAAATGTTTTGGAGCATTCATGGGCCAGGCCAGGTTGACTTTACATATAAGAGCGGCCTGCACAATCAGACCAAAGGTGGTCCATCTAATCCAGCATCATACTCTCATAGTGGCCAACCAGATGCCCCAAAGAGAAACCTGCGAGCAGAACTTGAGTGCAACAGCGCACTCCCCACTTGCAATTCCTAGCAACTGGTACTCAGAGGCATACTGCCTCTGACAGCAGAGGGAGAACATTGCCATTGTTACCAGTAGCCATTGATAGCCTTGTCCTCCTTCATGGCTTTGTCTTGTCTTTATAATTCATCCAGGTTGGCCTCCTGTGGGAGCAAGCTATAGTTTGCACTGTGTGACAGGTGGCTCTGGGTGACTCTGCTTTTGGCCGCTGTCTGGGAAGCAGCCTTTTGGCCAGCATGGGTGCAGATGGGCCCTGGTTTGGAGCCAGTCTTCCAGCCCTCTCCATGGTCCTCCTTGCCCTCTCAGGTTTTTTCTCAACCTGACTCTCCTTCTGTTCCTTCCTGCAGGCAGCCTCCATCCCGGCAAGTGCTTGTGCTCCTGGGTCGCCGGTCTTCCCCTCCATCTCCACCTTCACCTTCATGGATGCTGCCTGGGTCCTCCCAAGCAATCCCTGCTCTCTGGCTCTGTAGAAGGTGGGGTGGTGCCTGATGCCTGTCATCCCCATCCCGCGGCGGGTCCGCTCTTTCCATGGCCCCCACACAACATGCCTGCACTCTGCATGTGGGCCGGTCAGGACCACCCACTTGGTGCGCACCAAGTACAACAACTTTGACATCTACCTGAAGTCCCGGTGGATGTATGGCTTCATCCGTTTCTTGCTGTACTTCAGCTGCAGCCTGTTTACCTCCATCCTGTGGGTGGTGCTGTCAGTCTTGTTTTGCCTCCAGTACCTCAGCATCCGGGTCTTTCTCCGTTTCCAGTACAAACTCACCATCTTCCTGCTGTTGCTGGGAAGGAGGCGTGTGGACTTTAGCCTCTTCAACGAACTGCTCATCTATGGCATCCATGTCACCATGCTGCTGGTGGGGGGGCTGGGCTGGTGCTTCATGGTCTTTGTGGATATGTGAATAAATAAAAAACCAGTGCATGTCGGTCAAGGAGGCATGTTGGACTCTAACTTGGGTTAGGTCTTGTATGTGTGAATGTGTCCTCTTCTCCCTCACTTTGTCCTGCTGCTGAGGTTTATAAATTAATGGGTACTCGCTTAGAAGTAAGGATTGGAAGTTGACTTGGAAATTCCTTTCTAATTCTTCATTGCCCTTGGTTGGTAATATGTGGAAAACAAATCGCATTTTTATCTGCTTCATTTTTTACCATAAGCACCTGCCATATGTGGCCAATGGCCCATCTAGTCCAGTGTCCTGTCCTCACAGTGACCAGCCAGATGCCTCATTGGGAAGCCCACAAGCATTCAAGCACAAGAGCCCTCTCCCCTCCTGTGGTTTCCAGAAAATGGTATTTGGAAGCGTTGCTGCCCCCAACTGTGGAGGCAGAGTATAGCCATCATGGTTAGTAGCCTTGTCCTTCATGAATTTGTCTAATCTCTTTTAGATCCATCCAAAAGCCATCTCTTTTGGAATCTAATGGTATTTAAGTGGGCCCTGCAACAAATTGTTGCAGTCCATTCCCGCCTCTTAACAGGGACCAGCCAAGATAACCTCCAGGGTACTCCGTTCCATCCTCCCCTTGTTTTCTTTTCCAACTAGCACTAAAAATTAGGTGGCCACTAAGCATGCTGAATCCTCATTCTTTCTTAAAAAGTATTTGATGTACTTCTGCGAACTTTCGGGGGCTCTTTCCTCCTGTTGCTCAGTGGCTGTTCTTCAGTCTTTCCTGAGTTTGCTCTTGGAGGCAGGGATGTGTTGTGTGCTTGCTGCCCCCAATGCCATTCTCAGGGCAGCCCCTCAGGATCTCAACAGCCTGTTGCCATTCCACTGCAGAGTTCTTTTGCTCAGACTATTGAAAAAACATATCCTGTATACGGACAGTTGTGCACTTCCATCCCTGTATCTTGGCTGAGGGATGTAAAATACAGAACTCCGAGGAACTGTTTGTTTCAGCACTATCATTTATCTATTTTATTCCAGAATTTATAAACTCCACTGGTGTACAAAAAATAAATATAAAACACAATACAAATCTCAAAACAATGAAAAATGTGAAGCCAACAAGAATTAAAAGGCACAAAAATATAAGTGACCAATTTGGGAAAGCTTGGTGGGAAAAACATTTTTTACAAACATTGGAAACTGAAAGGTGTTGGGTCCTGCTTCCCTTCCAGAGGAAGAGAATTCCACAAAGCTAAGAGCATGTGGATTGATGCATTCTTGCCCCTCGTTCTGAGATTTCCTCTCACATTAGCCACCCCCAGTTCCTTTCAGGGTTACAATGATTTCCAGATTAAAGCTGAAGATGGACAGGGCTAGTGTAGCCAAGGTAGGCGAATAGTGGAGATACCAACAAGGGTCTCCCAGGTTCAGCTATTGTCTTCCATGGGTTGCCAAGCAGCCTTAGGCTAGCCTTGGTGCCCTACCACACTGATGTAGTACTTGCCTACCTCACAGGGTTCTTGGTATAAAGGATGGGAAGCACTCTGAAGTGTGTCTTTTTCCAGGGTTGGGCTGTGTGTGCCTCCATTCTGCAGCAGGAACCAGTTTGCATTTGCAGAGTGATCCACTGACTCAGAGTCCTGGAGAAGACTAGAAGAAACTTCTGCAACTCTGGAGAGGGAGAGGGAGGAGGAAGAGAGAGCTTTTCCTTGGTATTCCATTTAAGCAGCAAAAAGGTGGAGGAAAGGTGGTGGAAGAGCCTCTGGGAACATGGACTTCTCTTGGAGGAGAGAGTTGTGGAAGGAATCTCTGCCTTGTGAGGTTTTTTTGTGGGGGGTGAGGGGCTTCATCTCCTGCTCAGCTTCCTCCTGCCCATGCATTGGACTTATGGTCATATTTTGGGCTGGCCTTTGCTTCCAGTCATAGTTTCAAATGGACAGGCTTTCCCCAGTGGTGGGTCTGCCAGTGTTGCTGTCTGAAAGTCATTTATGTGCAGCAGGATGCCAGGCAGGGATGGCAGATTCCAAATGCTGGTTTGCCAGCTCCCTGGGGCATCTGGGTGGGCCAAGAACATGGAGCCCATTTTATTTTGGAAAGGGAAAGTGAGAGAGACATGTTCCACCTCCTGGGATGTGATTTGTCACTGGGTTTCAGTTCCGGAATCCTGGGCTTTTGCCAGCTCTTTCAGCATCTGCCCTTGGTGGCTGTCACTGCCTCCTGTGGGAGCGAGTTCCAGAGTTTAAATATGTGCCATGTGAAGAAGTCCTTCCTTTTGTCTGTTCTGAAGTGTTTTGCTTCTGTCTTTTGCTTGGTCAAAGAGTTTCTGTAGTTCTTGGACAAGGGTGTGAGTGGGAAGGAGAATAAAGATCTCCTTTCATTTCTTCGTGTGCCAACCCTGTGACTTTGCTTTCTCTCTCTCTTTCTCTCGCACCAAAGCAAAAGATTCTGCACAGAAAACGACCTACGGACAAAATTATTGCCACAAATCGTATTGCTTTGAATTAATTTCTCTTTGTTTTCTTCCGTGTCTGGGGTCTACCTTGATATATAGTTACATGGCATTTTTAATCCAGGCTACAAATAAGGATTATTATTATTTTTTAGAAGGAGGAGGGTGTTGTTTGTATCGGTAGATCTTGCAGGCCCAGGACCATTGTAACCAAGGAGAGGAAGCTTTTCTGTGGTGTGGGATGCCTGATATAGGGAATATAGCTGCTGGGGGTCTTGAGGTCATGGTTGAGGGGCCAAGAGGAGTGGAGAGTAAACTTTTGCACTTTGGTTGCTGGTTTCCCTCCAGCTCAGTTTTCTGGAATCCCTTTTATTAAGAGGTTATTTCTGTTGTGAATCAGAACACATTGTAATAAGGAGCGGCTCATTAAAGTGTCCAACACAGAGACTGGACTCCAGCCATCTCCTGAGGCCTTTCCTTGGCCCCAGTCCCTGTCCTGTGACACATCCATGCCCTTCACCCCCACCCTGCTGCTTTGCCCTTTCTATGCTGTAGCTGCAGCACCATAATTCAAGTTATGCAAATGCCATACTGTGCTGCGACGTCCAAGAAGAAACAAATTAAGGCCAGGTGGGGTCAGAAAGAAACTGAGCACTGATTTTCTGTTCCTAGAAATGTGTTCCCTGAAATCTTGAGAGAGGCCAGATAAAAGGGGCCACATGGATGAGTGTTTGGTTTTGGGCTTTTGTGTGTCCGCACAAATTCCTAACCAGTTGGTTTACTTTAAAGAAGAAAGACCCTGTTAATAGCTGGGAGGGCAATAGCTGGATCATGCTCTAGGACAGTGTTTTTCAACCACTGTTCCGCAGCACACTAGTGTGCCGCGAGATGTTGCCTGGTGTGCCATGGGAAAAATTGAAAAATTCGAAAGATTTTTTAAAAAAATGTCAATTTTTCGCCCACTAGGCGGGCGCCGGACTGTGTCCACCCTATTTTCCATCCGTCCTGGGTGGGGATCAGATCGGATGGGATCGGATGAGAGCGGACAGGCGGTCTGCTCTCATCCGATTCCCCATAGAGAGCAGCGGGGCTCTGACATCTCCCTCTCCGCACACAGTGGTGGTGTGCCTCGTGATTTTTTTCATGAAACAAGTGTGCCTTTGCCCAAAAAAGGTTGAAAAACACTGCTCTAGGAGACATTATCCTACCCTTCTCCCTGCCTGTTTCCTGCTGAGCTGGAGAAAGGGGCAGGACTCTCAAATCCCCTGGATTCCAACTCCCATCCTCATGATCTCTGACCATTGGCCGCCCAGCAGACTCCTGGGAGTTGGAGTCCAGCAACACCTGCAGGGTTACAGATGCTCCCCAGCTCTCCCATACCCCCACTTTCTCTCCCTCCTCAAGAATTTGCCTTATTAATGGCTTAGCCATATTCTTTCCAACCTGTGACTAGTTCTCCCTCAACTTCTGCAGTAGCCAGATTAGCTACACAGATGCAAAGGCTCTCTCTCTGTGTATGCATGGCTTGCCGTCCCAAATGTCTCAGCTGATATACATATATATATTTAGAGTATATTTTTAGGCTACCCAACCCCAAAACATTCTCTGGGCAGCTGGCAGGAAATATTAAACACATCAAATATACAAAATGAGTCTTGAAGCATTAAGAATAAACTCAGCGCTAGAGAGCAAAATCTGTGCTATAAACTCATCCTTCTTAGAAGGGTGTGGCCGGAGGATCCCCACATTGTTATAGGCCAAGGAAAATGCCAGTGGGGGTCTCTGGGGACCCTTTGGGTTCGGTTCTTCTTACTCACAGCATTGATGGCTGCTGAACTTGGATCTGAGAAGGAGGTATTCTCCCCCCTCCCCCCATGCCAAGCAGGAGTTGCCCAAAGGAGGCATACAAGGCACCATCCAGCCACCTTAGGGACTCCACTTCAGATTTGTGTAGGGTTTACTCCATCCTGGCTAATAAAAGCAAGCCGGGAAGGGCTGGGCAATGGGCTCTGTGGGGCAGTGAATGCTTCCCTCTGTGAGGGAGCCTTCCCAGACCTGCTGAAAGAGGTGGTCATTAAACTGCTTCTTAAAAAAACATCTTTAGACCCAGCCAATATGGCCAACTATCGCCCAGTCTCAAATCTTCCATTTTGGGGCAAGGTGATTGAGCGGGTGGTTGCTGAACAACTCCAAGCATGCCTGGAGGATGCGGACCATTTGGATCCCTTCCAGTCAGGATTCAGGCCTCATCGTGGGACTGAAACTGCCTTGGTTACACTGGCCGATGATCTCCAGCGGGCTAGGGACAAAGGTGAAAGCTGTTTCCTAGTTGTGCTGGATCTGTCAGCGGCCTTTGATACCATTGACCATAACATCTAGGGGAGCTGGGGGCACTGTTATACAGTGGTTCCACTTCTTCCTCCTGGACCATGTCCAGAAAGTGGTGGTGGAGGATGAATGTTCAGGCCCCTGGGCTCTCACTTGTGGGGTGCCTCAGGGTTCCGTCCTTTCCCCCATGCTTTTCAACATCTATATGAAGCCGCTGGGGAGATCATCGGGGTTTGGGCTGGGTGTTAATCAGTATGCAGATGATACCCAGCTCTATATCTCTTTCAAATCAGAACCAGTGAAGGTCCTGTGTGAGTGTCTGGAGGTGGTTGGAGGATGGATGGCGGCTAACAGATTGAGGTTGAATCCTGACAAGACAGAAGGACTGTTTTGGGGGGACAGGAGGTGGGCAGGTGTGGAGGACTCCCTGGTCCTGAATGGGGCAACTGTGCCCCTAAAGGAGCAGATAAGCAGCCTGGGAGTCATTTTGGACCCACAGCTGTCTATGGAGGCGCAGGTCAATTCTGTGTCCAGGGCAGCTGTCTACCAGCTCCATCTGGTACGCAGGCTGAGACCCTACCTGCCCACAGACTGTCTCACCAGAGTGGTGCATGCTCTAGTTATCTCCTGCTTGGACTACTGCAATGTGCTCTATGTGGGGCTACCCTTGAAGGTGACTCGGAAACTGCAATTAATCCAGAAAACAGCAGCTAGATTGATGACTTGGAGTGGCAGCCGAGACCATATAACACCGGTCCTGAGAGATCTGCATTGGCTCTCAGTACGTTTCTGAGCACAATTCAAAGTGTTGGTGCTCACCTTTAAAGCCCTAAACAGCCTTGGTCCTGTATACCTGAAGGAGCATCTCCACCCCCATCGTTGAACCGGACACTGAGGTCCAGCGCCAAGGGCCTTCTGACGGTTCCCTCACTGCAAGAAGTGAAGTTACAGGGAATCAGACAGAGGGCCTTCTTGGTAGTGGTGCCTGCCCTGTGGAATGTCGTCCCATCAGATGTCAAAGAGATAAACAACTATATGACATTTAGAAGACATGTGAATGCAGCACTGTTTAGGGAAGTTTTTAACGACTGATGTTTTAATGTATTTTTAACCTTCTGTTGGAAGCTGCCTAGAGCGGCTGGGGAAAAAATAAATAAATTCTTATTATTCTTATTATTATTATTAACCTTTTCCCAAAGATGTTCCACAATGCAGCGTGTATAAGGTGGCATATAAATAATAAATTATGAAAATTTTTCATTGCACAGAGTTGATAGGTCTGTGGGAGGAGACTCTTCTGGGCTTTGTCCCAGAGGCCAGCAGGCAAAAAGATGATTTGCTTTATTCATTGCATCTATTTATATCCTGCCTTCCAAGGCGGCTTCTAAGTTTCCTGGTGCTGCATTTTGGGCCCTTTTCCAGTTTGGGTTGATGTTTTGATGACCTTGAGGCTCTCCTGTCTTCTGGCAGCACATGATCTGTGGGGGCAAGGAGGGGGCTGGCACCAGCTCAGAATGTTTGTACAGCATTTGCTGCAGTGAGGCTGGAGATGCAGCAGTAGGAGCAGACTCTGTTGGCGGTGGAGGCGGCTGTTGTTCAGCTCTCCTGGAGCAGCGCCAGGCTCTGTGCTGGGTGGCTGGGGCTGCTCTTTGCCCAGTTTAGAGTGCCTCTTTGTTCCTGGCTCCCTTATTGCTCCCTTATTGCTGTTGTTTGGCCTCAGGACCTGTGGGTCGTGCCCAGCCAAACATTTTGCCTACCCTCTCCTGGGCATTGGGGCCCTCCCTCTCCCTCTCCCTCTCCCTCTACCCAGGGAGAGAATGGCTTTAAGCAGCTGGGTGGGGTTAGGTGGTATGCTTACTAGGGAAGACTGATAGGCCCTGACGGTAAAAGTCCAGGCTGAGAGACTGTACTCCCTTCACTCTGACTGTATTGGCTTAATCCACAACCCAGTGTCCTCTGATAATTTTAGACTACAACTCCCATCAGCCCTAACCCACCTCAAAGTAGACCTATCCTACATGGATTTTGCCATTAGTTGTAGTTTTGGGTTTGGGGTCGGGAACCTCCATGTTGTGGCATAGTCTACTTTTGAGTACCATACCTTTGATGAAGGCGACACCGGAAGGACCACTGCTGCTTTTGCTCCAAGGCCAGATAATACACAGACAGCATCAATTATTTGAAAGATTTTGAGATGTTCTTTTCTAATGGCAGGAGCTGTTTGATAGTGAAAAAAGTGACATTGGTAGGTGGTGGACTGTTCTTAGTCGAAAGTTTCTTTAGCAGAGGTTACATGGCCACCCATGAGGGATGCCAAGGGGGTGGGTGGGGTGGACTAGATTTGCTGTGGGGGGGGGCATTCCAACATCATCCTTGGAAACACACTTCTTTCAGCAGGATGAAAGACCATTATCAAACTTTGGGGCAAGAGCTGGAAAACCCAGATACTTAAAATGGCTTGTTGGAGTTGGGCATCATACTTTGGGTGTAAGTTAATGAGGTGGGGGGAGGGGAAGGAATTGCTCATTCAGTATTAGTACCAATATCTATACCTGAGCCAATAAGGAATGCAAAAGCTTTGGCTCCCCCCTCCCATTAGATTTCCGCCTTTTCCTTTTCTTTCTTCCTTAATTTTGTTTGTTCTTTTTGTGACATAGACTACCTGCCTACCTCTGCTTCCCTCCTTTTGTTTGTAATAATAGCATCAGACTTGAAATATGGATGCCTTCTGAAATATTTCCTGTCATGCCATCAATCAGATATATATTTACAGTCATTCATTAAACTAGAGTGTACATTTCATCCCTTCCTCCTTGGAATATTAATGCTGCTTCTGGCTGAAATGCTGTGTGAATATTCAGGTGGGGTTGAGGAATCAATCCCTGCACCAGCAATGATGTCACTCTGAGCTACAATCAAGCATTCTGTTAAAAAAACCAAAACCCAATTGGCATTGCAAAGTCCAATGTATATTGATTGCTATAGGGGAAATCTACAAGGAGGAGGAGAGAGAGAGATTTTGGCTTCGCTTTTTGTAGTTGAGGGCTGATGCTCTGGTTAACATTCTGGTTTTTTAAAGTAATATGATAACCTTGTAATAAGGCCATATGCTGTGTGTGTGTAGATGGTCTGTGACTATCTTCCTGCGACCATGCAGGGCTGAGAGCTGTCTTCAGAGGATTGTATTTCTATTGAGGAGAGAGCATAGCACAGCAGTCTTTGGCTGCAGTTGGCTTCAATGGCCAAGGCCTACTTCTTAATTGTCTGCTTTGCCCCTCCCCACCCAGTAATTGGGGTCTCTTCTCCTTCCCCATTTTTTGAATGCTATACAGTGGTACCTTGGATTACATATGCTTCAGGTTACAGACTCTGCTAACCCAGAAATAGTACCTCGGGTTAAGAACTTTGCTTCAGGATGAGAACAGAAATCGCATGGCGGCGGCACGGCAGCAGCAGGAGGCCCCATTAGCTAAAGTGGTGCTTCAGGTTAAGAACAGTTTCAGGTTAAGAACGGACCTCCAGAATGAATTAAGTACGTAAACAGAGGTACCACTGTATTTGCACTCCATGTATGACTCCTGTTGTTGATTGGGAGCCCACCTCAAGTGTTGTTTTCTTCATTTTTTGGCACCAATTGCATCAAATGTTTTGGGATGTGTCAGGGTGCTTGATTACATATTGGAGGCTTATTAAGTATAAAGAAATTGAGAGTCTGAAGAAGCTCCAGGTCAAGGCAGCAGACAATCTTATCATTGGAGGACCAAATAGGAATCCAAATGCATCTGGAGATCTGCCCTGGATCCACCAGGACCCAAACGTTGCTGTGTTTATAATTAAAATGCCCCCCTGCACATGGAAAGTACCGTATTTTTCGCCCCATAGGACGCACCGGCCCATAGGACGCACCTGGTTTTTTTTTGGGGGGGGGGGATAAAGATTTTTTTTTATTCCCCCCCCCCCCGCCCAGGTGCGGGGCTGGGGCGGGGGAAGCCCGAGCTTCCCCCGACCCCAGAACAGGCAGCTCTCTGCAAGCCTTGGGAGACCGGCGGGACTTCCTGCTGAGCTCCCATGGCTTGCGGATATCTGCCTGAAGCCCAAACCAGGTTGGGGAACAGCGGGATGGCGGCGCTCCACCTCCCCGCTGTCCCCCGAGCTTGTGGGGCTGCCGGTGGGGAGAAGCGCGCTTCTCCCCGTCGCCAGCCTCCAGATCAAGTCGGGAGACAGCGGGAAGGCGCGCTGCGCGCTTCTCCTCGCTGCCAGCCCCACAAGCTGGGGGACAGCGGGGAGGCGCAGCGAGTCTTCCCGCTGTCCCCTGACCTGGTTTGGAGGCTCCCAAGGCTTCCTGAGGCTCCCAAGGCTTCAGCGAAAGACTGCATTCGCCCCATAGGACGCACACACATTTCCCCTTCATTTTTTTGTAGGGCAAAAAATTTGTGTCCTATAGGGCAAAAAATACGGTACATTTAGGTACCTTGTCAATGTGAATCTAGGGCATGCTCTCTCTACATGTAAATACAAAATCTTTCAAAAATATAATTTTACAGTGTATTGTTGTGACTCCACGCTGTTTCTCTAAATGCTGGGTGTTAATGAAATTCCTCATCCTTTAGCAGTTTTTGAAGCATCACATTATTATTTTTAAAATCCTCTAGCATGGCAAGTAGCTTGAAATGCAGAAATGTCTACGCTGTGGAAATTGAGGAAAGAGGTGCTTGGAGGCATCCTCTCCTGAGGAAGACCTTTCAGAGGGGCTGATCTGTACAATTCTTGAAGCAAAACCAGCACTAGATCCATTGTCGTTAGAACTGAAGCTGCTCTTCCATAGTTAGCAGCACCAGGCTGAGCTAGTTCATTGTCTTTCTATTTACGTTCCAGTCATTTTTATTCTTCATCTTCTATTTGATTTAATTAATAAAATAAACCAAAGATAAGGAGCATAATAAATCCTGTAATGGAAGGCTGAAAGCAGCATAAATTGTACATGATACTTGAACTTACTGTTCTAAAACATTACAAAAAAATGCCTATTTCCCTATGAACCTGTTAGGCTGGTTTGCATGTATCCTTTTTTTGATAAGTTAGCATAGTCATATGAACCAGGTTTTCTCAGTCCATTCAGAAAATAGTAGGAGATAAGTGTGACCCTCCCCATTTTTAGCTATTATGTTCTTAGCAGTAGTTAAAAGGTTAAACACTATTCATCACTTTTTAAAATAACATATTTTAGATACCGGTAACCAATAAGAAATATTTTAGGTTTATTCTAAGGGTTTATGATACCCTAACATATCACATATATTATTAGCTTGAACAAATTTCTAGAGTATTTCTATTTGAGAATAATTCCAAACATGTGTATATAGTCTTCTTTATTTAATCCACATCACCAACATTTATCCGATTGTAACGTAATTATTTCTGAATTTGTATCAAGCCGTTTTTTTCCGTTTATAAGACGCCCCCATGTATAAGACGCCCCGTTTTTGGGGACTCCAAATTAAGAAAACACCTTTCAGCACTACCTGTGTATAAAACGAGCCCCAATTTTAAACCTTTTTTTGGTAAAAAAAAACTTAATACAGTGGTACCTCTGGTTATGAACTTAATTCATTTCGGGGGTCCGTTCTTAACCTGAAACCATTCTTAACCTGAGGTACCATTTTAGCTAATGGGGCCTCCCGCTACCGCCGCACGATTTCTGTTCTCATCCTGGGGCAAAGTTCTTGACCCAAGGTACTACTTCCAGGTTAGCGGAATCTGTAACCTGAAGTGTTTGTAGCCTGAGGTGTTTGTAACCTGAGGTACCACTGTACACAGAAAAATACAGTAAATCACCATGTGCATGTCTGCTTTTCTCATTTCTGGCCCTATGCCCAAGTGACCAAGTGCTTGGATGGGGCAGGGGAATACCAAGAGGCAGAAAAAGGGCAAAACACTTTTTTTGGGGGGGGGCTTACAATTGCTGCCTCTTCCTCCTCTGATTTGGAAGCAAAAGATGGGTGGTGGTGGTCATAGGATCCACCCCCCTCCACAATGCCTTCCTGGTGCAAATCTTGCTATCTTTTTGATGCCAAGTAAGCACTTTGACGGAGTGGTGATGGTAGTTATTTATTTATTGCTTTTGTATCCCACCTTCTTTTCTCCAAAGAAATTCTTCTGCTTTTATTATTATTATTTTTTACTTTACTGTATGGTTTTATATCGTTGTAAATCCATATATTTCCATGACACATCAGTATATAAATATTTTAGTTAATAAATAAAGGTGCTCAAGGGTGCCTGTACACTTCCCCCCCCAATCCTCCATTTTATCCTCACAACAACCCTGTGAGGTAAGTTAGGCAGTGAGTGTGGATTAAATAACTCACCTTATTAATTTCTAGAGGGTCATAAGGTTTTAAGATGATGGAGATAAAGCAACTGTTAAGTTTGGTTTTAAAAGTTGTACCTTGCATGGAAATGTGGCTCTTAATTAATCTGGGATCTGGCTCTACTCTGAGTAGTACTAGCAATGGGTGCATATTCTTCTTCTTATTAGGTTGGTAACTCCTTGAGGTCTTTCTAGCTAGGATATTTCCCTCACCCCTCTATGTTCAGGCAGTTTTAAAACCCCTTTCTCTTCTATGGCCGGGGCGGGGAGCCCCCCCCCGCTCCCCCAGTAACTAACACTGGGTGTGTGCCGCCTCCCACCCGCCCCCGTCAGTGTTGTGGGGCTGAGCGGGTAAAGGGCTGGGCGCCCCCCCGCCGCGCCTGCCTTCCCCCCTCCTCCTCCACAATCACTTCCTGCCTCCAGCCGGGAGGAGCTGCCGCCGGGGAAGAAGGAAGGAAAGGAGGAGGAGGGGGAGGAGGGCCCCGCCGCTGGCCCCACAGGTAAGCCGTCCGCCTCCAGTCTTACCTTTCCCCAGGAAGGGGGGGGGAAAGGGGGTGTCTCTCTCTCTCCCCCCCCGCTTCAACCCCGCTTGCTCTCGCGCACCGAGTGGGGAGAGGGCGTCAGCTGCCAACCTTACCGACCTCTTAAGTCACCCGAGTCTTCCCCACGCCCTAGAAGAGGACAAGACAGGATAGTAGAGATTCCCCAGCGACACAGCTGATTTCCTCTTCGCATTCCCCCATATGAAGGGAAATTTGCAAGGGGGGGACCCAAACTCGAGCACGGCTTGTCCTTTTCCCAAAGTGGTCCAGGACGACTGTGTCTGCTGGGAGCCAGGCTGCTGCTCGCGTGGGGGACTCTGGAGGTTGGGGGCTTTCGTGCCCCATTACGGAGAGGGCGTAGCCTGGGGTGCGGGGTAGGGACACCTGAGTGCTGGTTGTCCAGGTGCTGCTTCTCCCGCCCTCTCCCCTGGTCGCGGGGGCTGCTGGGAGTTGGAGCGCAGCAGCACCTGCTTCCCCACCTCCCCGACAGTCGCCTTCTATCTCGCCCCTGCATTTGCGCCCCTCCACACCTGCTCTTTGAAGAGAGGCACCGCAAATTCCCTTCTCTTTTTGTAGGGGGATGGGGGGCAATTTAGGACTCCTTTCCCTGACACCTTCACCTGCCTGCTCTGCCAGCTGAGCACCTCCTTGCCAGTTCAGTGTCAAAGTCTGGGAAGGGAGAGCAACACCCCCTGTCCCAGGACCCCTGAAAGGACAAGCGGCCCCAGACAGCCCACAACTGGTAAGTGTTCCTCTTGGAGACCATCCCTCAATCCTTTTCTTTGCTGGAAGAAGGGGGACGCAGGCAGAAGGAGCAGCCCTCCATACCTGTTGCATCCCTTTCTGGGGTGAGGGAAGTGGTCCTCATTGGTTCAGGAGTTCTGTTCTGCTTCTCTTCACCTGTGCGTGCCCCCCTCCCCCCTGTAAGAATTCTTTGGAGGGTTATGTCTGGTAGATTCTTCTTTGAATACAATTTGCTCAGTGTGTTAATCAAATTAACAGAGCAGCTGGATAATGGGTGCAAGAGATGGTCAGCAAGCAAAAAATGGCTTATTGGCTGTCACTTTGCAGGGCAGGATGGTGTAAGTTTCCAAAGGCTAGAAAGAGCCAGAGGGCTAGTGTATTACACACACACACACACACACACACACTTCCTCCTCCTCCACTGAGGTGAGCTGCTTAGATATTTCTTACCTCAGCATTTTGATGGACCTTGCACTTTAAATGCTTTTAGAGAAGGAGGAGGATTTTGGCAGGTGTTGCCAGGACACACCTGGCAAATGCACCCTCAAGGGCAAGACATTTGAGGACTTTGCAGAGGGGTCTCTGCATGTTCTTAGTTCCAAAGATGTACAGATAGAAAGATTCTCAGTGTAAGGAGCTGGTGTGTTGTTGGAGGTGGACTAGAGAGGAGATGGGGCAGCTGGTAGACAGACACTGGTGCTTTTCAAGAAAAGTAACCTTGGTGTTCTGGAAGAATTTGCCTATGTTGCGCAGTTTTAAAAGATTGGTTTCTTTATTGGAAATGATTTTACAATTGGAGTAGAAATATGTTGTTTTTTCATTTCTTAGTCTTTCTCTCCAAATCTCTTTACACCCTTGGATGGAAGTGGCTTCCTCAAAATTTGCCAATGGGCGGCCTGACTGACCAGCAGGTGTGATTCTGCTCCCCTATGGTCAATGTAGATGCCTCATGGGAAAAGGACTTCTCAGAATTTCTTAAGGCTATTTTGTTTTAATGAATACCTGATTTTAGTTTAGGAGCAGTGGTGCACCATCTGAGAAGATGGTGTGGCACATGTGGAAGTTTATTTAGGAAGGGCAGGAGGAGAGCTATTAGAATTTGATAGTGCTGTGTATTGTCCCAGTTGATCAAGAATACACTTCCTGACCTCAGCAGACGTGTGTGTGTTTGTGTGTTTTCTTGGATTCCAAGCCAGATAAGTGCCTTTCCCAGTGCTGGTGTGTTCCTGAACATGCTGTGGTTAAAAATGCATTTGGTGCCCCAGGACTCCTCCAAATGGTTCAGCTTCTGTGAAGAGGAGGGGGGCACTGTACTCCAGTACGTGAGTCTCTGTGCTGCGGCAGCAAAGTACAGAAGCACTTAAAAATGACGTGGATCCATTACATGCTGCTCCGTTAATTGGGAGACTGACTTGTGTGTTTCCTCCTCTTTGGGAGGCATTTTGCAGGGCTGTGCGGATTGATGCCCTGGCTGCATGCCCAGGGTTGGTCTTGTGACATGAGGAATTGATGAGCTGGTACACGCTCTTACCTTTTGCTAACTGAAATATTAAAGAGCAGTTGAAGTTGAATTTGGTAAACATAGTGGAATTTATGGCTGTTCTCTTCCTGTCAAAGCTGCTCCTATGAATTAGTATTCTGCTGCCTGAGCGAAATATTTTCCTGTCATGCAGTTTCTGGGCCTGACTCTTGTGATTTTCACAGCATTCACAGTTTGTGTTTATAGGATGATTTTACCAATTTCTGCAAATCCTTAACAAACATACCTGGCCTCAACCTGTACAGAGGAGACACTCCTGAGCCCTGAATTGTTAGTTTCAGGAACAACGTGGAGTTTTCTGGCACAAGTTTATAGTTTTTGTGGACTTACGGTAGGTCTCCATTAGGGTCATGAAGTGTTATGCAAAGCTTCAAATAAAGGTACACTTCAGATTTCACTTTAAAGGCTTTTAAAACAGAAATTGTGCCAAATTGTAGTAATGTTTGTAAAGTGTAGAGTGAGGAGAGTTTTCCGAAGCATGACAACTCTCACTTTTATTACTTTCAACATAGTCATATAGAAGTATTTGCTCCTAGCTCTGAAGGAAAGAGAGGGTAGTGATTTCTTCACTAGGGGCTGTTTGGATGTGATGTTTTCCTGGGCTTTTGGCTTTAGATTTGTGTCCAAGCTTGCCATCCAAATATGCTTCTTTGTTCTGTGGGCTTTGCTTCTAAATGTTTAGGCTCCAGCTGTTGTGTGGTCTCTGGGGAAAATGAAGTTGTACTGCTGGATAAGCATTTAATGGTTATTGTATTTGTATTTGTTTAGAAACCAATAAAATTGTTTTTTCCAAAAATAAAAAGTTGGAGGGGTAGCTTTGGGGTATTGCTCACAGTTTCAGATGTAAGGAAAATGATATCTGTGCAACAGGGCGAGGGTGGTGCTACTGGAAGAGATCCCACTCTGGTGCATTTGTTCACTCCTTTGCTCCATAACCCAGAGTCATCAGAAGCCAGATGAAGTTAGAGCAAAGACCTGCACCATTTTTTGCAGGTGCTCAGCCTTCACAATGGATGGGTGTAGCTTCAGAACCCCTGCTGTGTGTTCTGACTCTCCTATAACCTTAAATAGCAGTCCTCTCCAGGTGGATCTTGGAGGCCTTAACAGGGCCCAGTGGCAGACGTGATCATATGAAGTATGCTTGGCCCCACTTATCTAGTGTTAGAAATGTGGAGGTGCTAGAAGGAGCATCATTTACGTTCTGGTGCTCCACCCAGGCAAGAGCTAGTGGCTCAGGTCTGCTCCAGTTGTGACTTTGGGGCAGTCATCAAGGGCAGCCCTAAGCAGCACTTGGTGCTGACAGACACCACCAAATATGGGGGGTAAAAGGAGGCAGCGATGGGAGGCAGTGAAGGAAATGAAGGGCTGTGCTCTTCCCTCCAACCAGTGGCTTGTACCTCTTGTTATTACTTCATTCCCTTGCCTTGTTTAAGTTCTATGCAACAGCAGATGGCTGCAGAGAGAACTGTACATTTTTTGTTAATTCCTCTCTTAAACTCTGCTGGTGCCTCTGAGGCCAGCTGAGAGCATCTTGTGCAAATTGCTGGCTTAAAATTTTCCTTGTTGTGAGTTGACTCTTCTTTCTGTGGGGCTCGATCTTGACAGCCCAGTTTATCTCCTGTTTTAGGGGGGCTTTGCTAACAAGACTTGAATGAAGCGATTTCAAATATGAAAATTAAAACATGATTAGTAATCGAGAGAGTGATTGTTCAGCCAGCTAACAAGAGAGCACAAACCTCCCAGGGTCCTTTCCTTCCCCATCTGACCTGCCATTACATCCTAGTGACAAGGCTTTTGATAATCTCTGTGCCATTTTTTTTGTAGCAAATCCAAGGCCAGCCCAGGTTTTTCTTTCCAATGAGATCATTTGCAAAATATGTTTCTCCCTTGCTGCAGGCATATTTCACTGTGTCACTTGCCAGTGCTCATTTGCTGGGAACTGTGATTCGTTAGCCAAGGCTGTCTTCTTCTTCTTCTTCTTCATCTTCTTCTTCTTCTTCTTCATTTTGTTTAATTTTTCATAGGGAAGTCACAAAAACATATACCTTGGGAAGATTCTTCATAGTGATTACTGTATTTATGCGAATCTAATGCACAATGCACCTCCATTTTCAAAACCTTGAAACCAAAGAAGTATTTATGGTGAATGTAAATGTGCCATCAAACCTAATGTGCACCCTAATTTTCAAGACTTAGTTTGGCCAAAAAAGGTGTGCATTACATTTGAGTAAATACGGTAAATCATGTGTAATGTTTTGTTCCATGACCTGGCTTGCTTGTCAGGGGGAAAACTGCCTCCACTCTTGGAAATGTTGTTCCCTGATGTTTGTTGGGACCTGTGATTTGGCCCAATGTTGGGGCCAGGCCTTCCTAGGCAAGACCACAAACAAGTGACCTTTCACCTCTTGAGCACATGGCTCACTGCCTGCAAAGCGGGATGGAAGTAAGAGCTGCCCATATAAAACATGATCCTGAGGCTTAGTACAGCTGTGATCCAGGTTGCTGCAGGGCTAGGAGCAGCTGCCTTTGGCATTCAGGGGGAGCCTGAAAGCTCCATCTCCAAACAGTGAAGCAATTACTCTTGTGTTTCTTATCTCCCTGGTCTCAAAACCCATAAGTCCTGGAAGCTCACAGATCTTTATCAAGTCCCCCCCACCCCTTTTTCAATGCACACATTTACTTCAGCCATTTAAGTTTGCCATGGAAGAGAAATTTCTGAAGGAGGGAGAAATCTGAGCAGTGCCTTTTCTAGGTCAGCCTGCCTTTTATTTATTCATGCATATTTTCTGCTTCATCCAAAGGGTTTGAAGCTTTTCAATAAAATGCATAAATAATACTCCTCCAGTATTATTAGTCTTGCTATTATTTATTTAATAATAATTATTATTATTATTAATTTGCTTTTGGGTCACAGAATGAAATCTTCTGAAAATTTCATCCTGTCCCACCTGTCAAGAGCCCCATGAATTGAGAGGAGAGGCAGGCTCCTCCTCTTCATCTTCATCTTCCTTCCTTCTCTGCCTCATGAAGAGAGTCATCGAGGAGGGCAGAGCAGTGTTCAAAATTCACCAGGTGCCAGGTGACCAAGTGAAGATGCCCAGGCGCCAAGATGGCTTACATCTCCACCATCTGGAGGTGCATGCC